CCCCAAAACCCCAAAACCCCAAAACCCCAAAACCCCAAAACCCCATAAAGTATTATGTAAATTGGAGATATTAAATAAAAATGAAGCTGTTGAACGTCATCATTAGAGAAATCCTTCTGTACATTGAGTTTGAAGATATTATAAAGTAGGCTGAATTGTATTACATTCTATAGAACCCAACTTTATCTGGTAGATAAGCAATTTTACCACAATATAATGTAAGCAACCGACCCCATAGTTTACATATGGATATGCCTCTTGCCAAAAATAAGAGAAACTTAGACAAAGGATCAGGCTAATGAACAAATCATTTTGTTCACTCTAAAAATGTTGATTTTTCTTCTTGAGCTTTTTCCTTAGTTGTCAACTTTATTTTAAATTGAGATTAGGTTTTTGTCAGAATATCTTATTTTTTTGTAGCCAAGATAATGAACTATTGAGAAGAATATTATTCAATCAAGTTGCATTGGTCTTAGATTATGAGAAAGAACTCAAGTATCAGAGACTGTTAAACCAAAAGCATGATATTTCACAAAGGTAAGCTCACCTTAATTTATCAATTGATACTGAAGGGATTAAAAAGTAGAACATTTATGATATTTTAAGAAGATTTTTATATTCCACTTTCCTTTCAAAATTAAAGCGTGCTCATATAAATTATAGTGAAGATATAAACCTAGTGAAATTTTATGAAGATCCTGATAGTCAACTTCTCTCAATCCTAATGAAACTTAAAAACACACAAAAACTTCTGAGCGTCTGTCACAGATCAACAGGCGGCCACGAGGATGGTCAACCAAAAGTTGGGAATATATTTGAAGCTGTGTCTGGATATAAAAACCAAGCTTATTCCGCTGAACAAATCTATTATCCAAATGGGCTCTACTGAATAACTGGGTCTCCTTATCATCAAGTTAATGAGAATCTTCCTCAATTGAAGATTCTTGTTGACAATCTATGGGATAGCTTGAAATCAAAAGATATTTGCAATGAAGGATTTGTAGTAGAGGTTGATCAAATTAGAGCTAATCTTGAGAAAGTAATCCCTCTGTTAAAATATAGTCAACTCAAGGAGATAAGGATATAGAGAAAGCACTTGAATCTCTCCAAACCCTATTTTGCAACAAGATGAATAGACAGCTCACATATAATGATTTAGAATATGTAGCTCATGACAAGTCAGATGCTGCAAGGAGAAATTTTGGACATTTAGAGGTGCTAAGAATGATTAATAACTTTAGGATCACAACAAAATTATTGAATACAACACAAAGGGGTATGATCATTTGATTAGACAGAACTTGTTTATCATTAACAAAGTCACAGTAAGACTTCTTTTGGCATATTTTAAGTCTCTTTTGGCTAGCTATCTCAAAAAATTTGTCTCGTAATGTTAACTTGTTCTTCTTCAATAGATCTCTTACGATGCTTCCATTTGGCTTTTAATTATTTAATCTAATATAGTCCATGAAGATGATAGGTTGCTGTTGCCCAGCAAAAGCTTTTGCAATCCTCGTTCACGACACTCAAATAAACTGTGAAGACCATCCTTTAGCCCTGATGATTAAGAAGGTCTATGAATTATCAGGATGGACACACAAAAAGCCTCTCATTGATGTGAACACTTTACATGGTTTTAATGAAGATTCTGACTTCAGTACTCCTGAGAGTAGTGAGCCTGACGATGATTTGTTGGAGTATTACAAGGAAGAAACTAAAGAAATTCAACAGATTGAAAATAACTTTTCTGAAGCTACTCTAACGACCAAAATTGAAGATAGTTTCAAATCCTTTGTTACTACTTTTGAGAAATTCTCTGAGTCCGGTCTGATCCCAAAGGTTGTCAATTCAAAGGACAGATGGATGGAGTTTGACCAGAAGTTTTACTCTAAAAAGTTTGATTCTAAGCACAGTAAATATAATCACAATCAATTTTAGTCAATGAAGAGCAAAAGTTTGACCTAACAAATTCTGGTCTAAAAGAAAATGATATCAAAAAGATCACTGAACTTTACCAAGATTTAGACTCTGAGTAATACCCAAAGATGACTTTTAGAACTGACTTCTACAGGCTTAGATTAGCTGCCATTGGATATGATTTAGCCGTAAGCTCAACTAACATCTTTTAGTCCTTAAAGAAGCAATATGAGTACAGCTTTAAGCAGTTGATTGCTGGAAGATTTGTCACGATTTTAGGTAAAAGTCTTAACTGTCCTAAGTATCAGCAACTCAATTTTAAGTTCTGAAACCCTGTTTTTAATTTCTCAGATCCATTCTAACTGATCATTTAGCTCTGGACATTCATAATGTTATGGATGTTCCTCCAAACATTGATTTTGCAGGGATTCTCTTTTCAGGAAGGTTTGTTCCCAGTATCCTAAAATTCTCTGAATAATCAATACTCAATCGTGCAGCTTGAACCTGGGGTTTTGGGGTTTTGGGGTTTTGGGG